TTTTTATTTTTGAGTCAGGCTGGTCTTGAACTCACTATGCAGACCAGGCTAGCCTTGAACTCAAAATGATCCTCCTGCCTCAGCTTCTTGAGTGCTGGGACTGTAGGCATGTGTCACCTTACCTAGTTTAAGAGGGCATAAGAAGGCTACCACTGTACCTCCAGGTTCTGCCCTCACTGACCAGGTGCAATGACATCCAGAGGGTGGAGCCAAACCTACTAGGCCCATAAGACCAGGCTCAGTGAGAAAGCTCAGAGACCTATAGCCCAACATCTGAGCTTATCTATAGGAACAATGAAGACATGCAGAGATGACAGCCAATTGGAGTGACTCCTGTTCTCAGTGGCCACACACATATGCAGACGTGCTGGCTGGGAGGCTGTGTACAGGACGTAGCCCGCAGAGCGGAAATTCAAAACCAAGCCACCCTAGGCCACTGGCAGGAAAGCCCCCCCTGCCCCAGCAGCTGGTCTTTCCCTTTGGCCCCTAGAAGCCCTGCCTGGCCCTCTAGAGCCACACCCTCCCTTCCCATGTCTGTCCTCCCTCCAAGATCAAAAGCCCACCTCTTCAGTACTCTTCCACCCACAGGACTGACTGTGCATGAGTCACAGAGTAGGTGCTCAGTAATGTTACTGAATGGATGGAACAGGCTCAAACTCTTGGCAAACCCTGAGCCCATTTTACCTGCTCTGAATGGGTCCTGGCTTTACAGGCCCCCATCCTACTATAGCATACACTACACATCTCATCCCTGCTTTCCTTGCACATAGCACCTTGCCAAAACTGCACCACCAAGGAGCCTAGCACCCACTTACCTTGCAATTATTTCTTTCTCAGGATGAACGCCTATCTCCACACCTGGCCCATGATATGCCCAGTTCAGCTTAGAATTCCTGTCTGACCTAGCCTAGAGACTACGGAGCTACCTGCCTGTCTTGTTGTGCCTGTTTTGTCATTTGCCTGGGGCTTTAATTCACTAGGTCAGTGGCATGGCAGGAAAAACCAACTCCTAAGATCTGGATACCTAGAGCCCTGGACAAGGGGGTCAGGTCAGCCTGTGACATGGGCCACAATCTCCAGCACTTGACAGAGTGCCTTGTGAGGGCAGTGAGGACCTGGGCTCGAGTAGGATGAATTTGTGACATTTTACCATCCTTGATAGAGATACAGCCCTGTCCCCAACCCCTAAGAACTCAGAAATTACCCTTCCCGACTCAGTCATTCCCTCCCTGCTTGGCCACATCAGCTCTTGACCCCACCACCACCACTCAGAGGCTTCTATGGCTGTGCCCCTTCAACACCTACAGCCCGTGGGTCGCTTTCTGTCTCCCAGAGTGAGAGCTCCCAGGGACTGGCCTTAGGGCCAGGAACTAAGCCTCTAGTCCAGCCCTATTCTAAGGGCCTCTTCCAGGGTAATCTCGGGCTGGTGGGAGGCAACCATGGATGGAAGGCCAAGGCTTGCAGTCTGATGGATGGCACAGGGCTGGGCGTCCTCCACCATGCTCTTCCCGGCACAAGGGGCTTTAACCTGGTCCTCCTGAGGCCTGTTGCAGAGCCCACACCTGGGCTCAGGGTCAGGTCCCTTGGGGGAAAGGGCACACCCCCACAGGCCCCACCCGGACCCCTCCTCCGGTGTAAACAAACGCACGCAACCACTGTGGCCAATGGAAGGGGCCAAATCCAGCCTGGGCGGGCTCATGCAAACCGAGTTTGGGTCCAATCCCACACAGAGTGCCCGCCGGCGGGCTCCTACCCCCGCGCCCAAGGGCCAGGTGGGAAGAAGCGCATATCCGCGCTCCGCCCTCAGGCCGGGCAGCCACGCGCGCCCAGTGCCGGCCCTGCCCTTGGCTCCGCCGCAGATGGCACCGGCTCTGGGGTCAGCATGTACCCCGCGGCCCCTTAGGCGGCCCGATCTGCCCCGTTCTCCTGTCCAACGAGGCCAGGATAAATATACCCAGATTCCCGGCGTGCCAGCCGACCGCGCTGCCGTCAGGCGCCCGTCGGGGCAGTGCTCCAGGAACTGCTCTCCGCGCTCTCGGCGGCTGTCCCGGACGGACGCGCTCTCGTTGTCCCGCGGGCCCGGCTTAGGAAGCCGGCTGGTGCTGCTTGAGCCCCAGGCCCGGAAGCCACTGGCCTCCTGCTGTCCAACTTAACCCTAACGAGAAGTCCAGCGTCGATGAGGTGATCCTCCAAGGACCCTGGCTCCAGCTCCAAGCTGGGTCCCAACTGGCGGGGCCGCAGACCTGCGCCTGGAGCGCGCGAAACTCCGACTCGCCTGTGGCTGGGGTGCCTGCCGGGGCTGCGGCGGGCTAATGGAACAACCCAAGGAACCCAAAGAGGACAGCAGAGCTGGCTCAGCCCTCCGGGTAGCCCTGGGCTGGTACACCTACGTTCCCAGCGGTACCTGGCCTCGTGGGTGAACACGCGCGGCGTTCCGCTCGCTTCAGCTGGTGCGGTCTGCTGGCCTCCAGGCAGAGCTCAGGGCTGCAACGGCGACAGCGGCGGCTGGGGAATGAAGGGCTCCCGGCCCCGCCCCCGGCCCGCCCCCGGCCCGCCAATCCCTGGCTGCCTGAGGGAGGAGGGGCCGGTCTGGGGAGGGGCGGGGGCCGTGCCCCAGGGCGAGCCGGAGAGCTAGGAAACCCCTAGGTAAGAGCTCCTTGGAGTTTGGAGTGAAGGGATGCTTCAGACCATAGTAGACTCTGCAGTCTCTGTTGTCCTTAACCCACAAATGCCCTGTTTCCCTGGAGCCAGAAGGGTTTCTTAGCCGACGGGAGTAGCAACAGGGCAAAGCTTAACTTCAGTGAAGGGTGTTCTGCTTGGAGGACTTTCAGACATTATTTATGGAGCAGAATTTTCTTTTTTACCTCTTACTATTCCTAACCAATGATGGGATAGGGATGGGAGTGGGGAAGAGCTTCCTGCATCATTCTGTCTTCATCCAAAGTAGAAGATTGGCTTGGAGGCTGGTAGAGTGAGGACAGAGACACATGGCCACAGCACCCTCCAGTCTGCCCCCAGCCTCTCAGCCTCTCTGACCTCGCCTCTTGAAGCCCTCTTCCCCACTTCTACACCTAGGAAACTGCTGCCAGCTTGCTTGTTAAAGGTAGGCATTAAGACTTGGTGTCCCAGATGAAGGGGGGTTTATAATAGTGTTGGTTTTTTTGTCTTAGTTTTGGTTTGGTTTGTTTTTTTTTTTTTTTTTTTTTTTCTCGCGGAACCAGGGATTGAACTCAGGCCCTTGCACTTGCCAGGGAAGTGCTTATTCTACTGAGCCATCTTCCTGGCCCCAGCAGTGTTGTTCTTCACTGGAGGCTCCTACCCTAGCCCTGCTTGCCTTCCAGCTGGGGCCCTGATGCTCAGAGGTGGGTGGTGGATGCAAGGTCTCAGGTCCAGCTATCAGGGATCAGGGGAGGTGTTGACCTTTTAGCATAAACTGAAAGGGAGGATTCCTAGAACAACTGTGCCACTTGCTTCTCAGCCACTGGCTCTGATCGGATTAATCCCTGACCTCCACTCTTCCTATCCAAGCAGGACTTCTCAGTATCTCCCTTCTTGGTGCAGCGGAAAAGTCCTCAGAGGACAGAGCTCACCTGTTTTCTGCCCTGGGCTGGGAGTCAGGAATACCAAAATCCAGGGTGCCTGTATTCTTTTCCTAATTCAGCACTACCAGAGTGAAGCTTTAGGGTACTTTAGTTTCCCTCTGTGTTATAAGGAATGGCTCTTTTCCCCCGACCTGGGGCGAGTGGGGTACAGAGAGGTATGAGCCATGGGTCAGAGGCTCCGTACTGATTAGAAGGGCTACAGAGAAAGGGATGGGGAAATTTCTTCAAACCTCAATTTGCTCAACTCCTGCCTTGCTGGTCACTAGGAAGGGACTGGCTTTGCCTCCTGATCCATGATTACAAGGGGTCATTAGGCTACCACTCTCCAAAAGAGAATAAGACAGAGACACCCTGGATGCTCACAGAGCCACTTACAGAGGGCTAGTGGCTCCCATATGCAGTTGCTGAAGGGCCAGACCCAGCTCAAGGTCACCTGTCAGGTGAATGTTAGGATTTTCAATCCAGGGGCGGAGCAGGAGCTGACAGGGCTGTCTAAGGAGGCCTTGAAGTGGGCATGATGTAGGGTCCCTGGCCCAGCCAGCTATGGCCAGGCTGGGGGCAGGGATGACTCTTGTAGTTGTTAGGCCCGAGCACCTCCAGGGCAAACAGTGCTGAGGTCTTTGCCACCACCTGTCGAACCTCCCAGCCCAGCCTGCGGTAGCTGAACAGCTGGGTGGCTGGGACAGGGCTCTGAGAGTGCCAGGTGCTATTTCCCAGAAGCCAGGGGGAAGGTCCATCTATGAAACTACAGTATTGTGGGAGCTGCCTGGTGCGGGCACAGAGACTTTATCTCCAGCATCAACTTATCTCTTCCCTTCGCCACAACCCCCATCTCAAATCCAGGTCCAGGAGACTACCAGACACATGGGGCAGAACTTAGGGCCCCAGGATCACTTAGACTCTCCTTCCAGGGTCACAGTAGCCCATTTGCTCTTGTTCACCCTCACCAGTCCTGAACTCTCAGCCTCCAGCAAGGCAGACTCTTTTTCTGACCATGCTGCCACCTCCACTGATACACCACCCACATGGTGCCCCAAGAATTTCTCCAATAGTGAGGCCTTATTCAACCTCCTTCCCAGTGCTTCCCAGAACCTAACCTTGGGATATACTAACTGCTTGGGTGACCTGCAAGCCCCTGCCCTTTTACCCAGCTGGCCTTCCTGATATCCCCCAATTTGCTCCCATCTGGCACTCTGAGCTGGACAACATGGTCTGGTCCTGTTGTTTCTAGACTATACCAGTCTTCATGCTTCTGTGCCTCTGCCTTGTGCTTCCTGGGGTTGAGGTTCCATGCCTGGCCCCACCTCCTTGGCAAACTTCTACTTGTCCTTTAGCACTAAAAAGAAGATTACCTCTGAGAACCCTGCCTCATCACCAAAAGAGTGAGCTATTCCAGTACTCACTACAGCTTCTATACCATCTACCCACTGTCCTAGCATCTGCACTTGGCAAGATAGGGGGTGCAAATCAAAGGCAGTGCAAACCAGGTGGGGTGGTACATGCATAATCCCAGAACTCTGGGATGATAAGTTAGGAGAATTGCCCTACCTTGGGAAATTTGGAAAATCTAGCCCACCCTGGGAAATTTGGTGACTTGGTCTAAAAATAAAAATACAACACAATACAATAAAAATAAAATGACTGGGGTTATAGCTCAGTGTGTGAAGGCCCTGAGTTCAACTGCCAGTACCCATTTAAAAAAGATTACTAAAAAAAAAAAAAAAAAAAAAGAAGGAAAGCCCAAGAAGAAGCAACCTTTGGGCTTGGCTCTGCTAAAAGAAAGAGAGTCAAGGGGCAGGAGGCACGAGCACTCATGCTGGGGCCAGAGCAAGACCCACTGCCAGAGTCATGCTTGGGCTTAAAACCTCATAGGGTCTGTGATTTGGCTCCACACCCTGACTACATACAGCTCAGTTTGGTGCCCAGGAGATTGGTTGTGGGAGCTTTTGGCTTCTGAGGTTATTGTTTCAACACAGACTGTGAAAGTGTGCAGGGGCACACTAGAATCAGCCCTTCTATGCAGCCTTCCCCAGCTGGGCCCCAGAGCTGGTGGCCTCCTGCTGAGGCCAGCCCCACAGCCTGGTGTGCCCACCCTTTCCCCCAGAGATTTTGGCCCCCAGCCTCCCTGGCTACTGAAGCGGCTTAATAAGCTCAGGTCACATGGGCTGTGCTGCTGACCGAGGGGAGGGCACAAACTTCCAGTGGTCATCTGGCCAGGGCCTGACGTCAGCGGCATTAACCGTCACCAGGCTTGTCTAATCTCTAGTCAGCAGCTGGGCCAGGGTAGTCCTGTCAGAGCCGGAGCTGAAGACCATGGGTGTTCTTAGGGATACCTTGAGGTGCTTGGAGGTCAGACAGAGATGGCCATGGGTAATGATGCCCACTGTAAGCGCTCCCACCTACATGACTGGTATAGCCACAGTGCTGAATCTGGGCCAGCTCTCTGATCCTCCGGTCTGGGCTGTGAATCAGGCACCAGGCACCCAATAACCCATTGATGTTACCCCTCAGGGTGTAATTAAATTGGTGTGGTGAGTGAGGTTGAAGAGGCTTCTCACTCAGAGACGCAGAGGCCTCCACACTTGGTGGTCAAGGATGGGGTGGCTTGAAGCCAGGCAGCATCCCCAGCCCACAGGATCCAGCAGTATCAGTGCTTAACCCCAGTCTCCGCAGGCAGAACAGTCTGGAGGTTGAGGTCCAGCCCCTGCACAGGGGGCTGGCTTTTCTCTGTCCCTTGTCCAGGAAGGCTGGGGATCTCATTACACTTTCTCCTACACAAAGCAGCCATGAGGAGGACCCTGTTAATTCACTTTTTTCCATTAGCCTCCTCTCTCTGAGGCCAAATACACCTAACTCCTCACAGCCTCTTGTCCTCTGTCTTACCCCTGCCCGCTACTGCCTGCTGCACCTCACTTGCATAAATTGCTTGAGGTCCTTAGTAGAGATTAATCACTCCAGCTCAGCCAGGCCCAAGAGCACCAGCTGGGTCGCACCACTGACTAAGTCCTGTCTACTCCTCAGGTTTCTGACAGTACCAGCGTGGCCACTGTGTGTCCTTGGCTCCCTGAGCCCCTAATGCTCCTCCTGTGTCCCCCACTGGCTTCCCGCAGGGTTCTGGATCGCGAGGAGGCCGTCTACAGTGTGCCTTCTGCTGCACTCGGAGGAACTGCTGCCTCCTAGGCGTCTCCTCCAAGTGGCCACAGATCCTGCTGACTCAGCCTATCCAAAATCTTCTGCACTCTGAGCAGCAGTGTCACCTGTGGCTGCTCAGCTGTGTGGCTGAGCTCCTGTTCCACAAGCCCTGGCTGTGCGGGTACTGAGGACATAAGCATCTGCTTCGCAGTCTCCTGCTCCCATTCCTCTCCTCCCCATCCCACAGTGGCCCCCAGGGAGAATGTGTGCCTCTATGTGTCCATTTTAAGAAAACTTATAAGAATTATTTTTTCCAAAGCAATTTTCAAAAATACTATCAGTGACTTTTGTCCCCACTAAAGCCAGGAAAATAAAATTATAATAAATTCAGGTTATGCGGGGATATATCTCAGTGGCACAGCACCTGCCTGTTCAGTGAAACCTCCTGATTTCAATTCCTGGTACCTAAATACATAAATAAATAAAATGAATTCAGTTTTAGGTAGGAATAAAATGTGTAAGCTTAAAATATTGTAAAGAGGCCAGGGAGATGGCTCAGTGGAGTAAGCGCTTCCCTGGCAAGTGGAAGGGCCTGAGTTCAATCCCTGATCCCGAAGGAAAAAAAAAAAAAAATTGTAAAGTGTTTGAGCCAGGAATGGTGATTTATACTTGTAATCCTAGCACTCAGGAGGCTGAGGCAGGAGGCTCACTGTAAGTATGAGGGCAGTCTGGGTTACACAGTAAATTGAAGGCCAGTTTTTTTT